ACAAGGGAATACAGTTCACGTTTTGGCAATCAGGCACTCACCTGGAGAACAAGGGAATATAGTTCATGTTTTAGCAATCAGGCGCCCACATGGAAAATAAGGGAATACAATTCAAGTTTTGGCAATCAGGCGTCCACATGGAGAACAAGGGAATACAGTTCAAGTTTTGGAAATTAGGTGCCCACGTGGATAACAAGGGAATACAGTTCAAGTTTTGGCAATCAGGCGCCCACCTAGAGAACAAGGGAATACCGTTCAAGTTTTTGGCAATCAGGCGCCCACCTGGAGAACAAGAGAATACAATTCAAGTTTTGGCAATCAGGCGCCCACCTGGAGAAGAAGGGAATACAGTTCAAGTTTTGGCAATCAAGCGCCCACCTACAGAACAAGGAATACTTTTCAAGTTTTTGGCAATCAGACGCTCACCTGGAGAATAAGGGAATACCGTTCAAGTTTTGGCAATCAGGCGCCCACCTGGAGAACAAGGGAATACATTTCAATTTTTGGCAATCAGGCGCCCTGAAGTTAGTCACAATCCAGAATAAAAAAAGAGAGAAAGAAGTGAATCTAAAATGCAGAAGTAAGAGAAAGATGTCAGCTGCTCAAGACATGGCTGAAATCACGAGCATTGCATGTCCGGTCTTGATCCGAAGAAGAATGAACTGGCACTTGCAGCTAGCAAGCATCAATGTTCCAATCTATAGTCTGCATGAAGAACCATTCAACAATCAAGATCAAGATTCAGAAGACTTATAGATAGGAATCTTTACTCGTAGTTGATAGGCTTAGTTAGTCTTCTTTATTTTTTTATTTTAATGTAATAACAGGACCGCGGAACGGAATCTCGACGGAATGGCACCTCGACCAGCTCTCAACCTCGGTATACTCTATCAGTGTTCCTAGTTCTGAACTACACGTGGCCTGATTCCTTTATAACAAGGATATGTAGGCAGCTCAGATTCCAGGGCTCGGTCACATTCTCCTTTCACTTAGTTTTTGGTCTCCCTAAATAAGGGTCGGGTCAAAAAACTTGTGTAGTTGTTATTTGTCTGAAAATACTTCGTGTTTCCAGTCAAAGAGGGGCAGTTGTAGACATGTGATTTTGACCCTCCCCAAGATTGTACATATTTTAGCATTTAAATACTTAGTTTAGGTCTAATATAGTTATTTCAACTAATTTTGACTCTTTTACTTTATTTCGTCACAAAATGAAAATAACAAAAAAATATTGTATTTTATGTACATTTCATAAAATTAAAAAAATACAAAAATAGTACCTTATTTTTATCTTTATATAACCTTGAAAATACAAAAAATAAATATAATAGTTTCATGTTTTAATATAGTTTAGTTTAATTAATTAAAATTAGTTTGGCATTATATAGTATAGTTATCCTATATTAAAGGAATTTAGCTATGGTTTTGAACAATAATTTAGGGGTCTTTGGACCCAATTCGGACTCGGCCCAAACTAGATAGGCCCAATACCCATTAAACCAAATACCCTAAAAAATCCTACTTACTCGCCTATACACATTTTTTGATGAGACACACCGTAGACCCTAGAGTACATTCGTCGTTTCCATCAAGCAAAGACCCCCCCCCCTCGTCTCATCTCTTCAACAGACGAACACCAAAAGAAACCCCCCCCCCCCCAACCCCCTGAACCATCATCTTCTTCAAAATACGAAACAACTATAACACAAGACCTAAGACACAACAGCTAGACCTTGGAGCCGTTTCTGACTTTGGAAAGGAGGACAGAAGACTCTGCAGCTTCTTCTTCATGAAGGTCTACCAAAAAAACCTAGCCTAGCTCTCCACCTTCTTCAACAGCAACCTAACGCCACCCTACAACAACCAACAATATCCAGCGGTTTTTCACACAGAGAGAACCTCCCATCACCGCTGCTTCTCATCCTCTCCACACCTTTAGCTTCTTCATCTTCTTCAACCTAGAGACCGCTAAACACTACCTCACAACAACCAGATCGATGCCTGCCTCCGCCAGCCTCTTACTCGGCGGCAATGGCTAGAATAACGATGTAATATTCCAACAATTTCACACCAACAGGTCCAAACAGAACAGCCCAAACAGTCCCAATCAGCTCTAAACTCCGACGAAAAATCGGTCGATTACTCGAGCTCTGTCAAAGGATCCGACGAGTTGGTTTTGTTCAAAGTTCCGGTTTAAAAGAAGTTCGTAGGTTCTGACTTCTAGTCCAGTTTCCGGGGAGTTCATCGACGCTGTATTCATTTAGTCAGAAGGATTTTGAAGGATCTCTATTTGTTTTCATTAGGAGTGCTCAACCGCGAATTCAGTTTATTATGAACCGCAGAAATACATGTCAATTGCTCTATTTTTCGATTAATCATTCTAAACACAATTACTTTCCAGTTGCCTTCAGTGTTTGGTTGATTTGAACGTATCTTGCTTCTTTGCTGTTGAAAAATGTTTGCAAACTTGAAGCTTATACATGATTGATTATTTGTTGTAGAGATCCTGGAGTTATAATAATACAATTTTTAAATGATAGACTATTTGGTTCTAGTGTTATGCACTGAGCCTATTTGAGATAAACATAGGGTATCTACGAGTTAGTTTAGTAATTTTTGTATATTGCTTTAACGACGTTAAGTAGTTTTAGATTGAACGTCAATTTCGAATAAACCTAAGCATCCTTAATTTACTTTAGTTGAATACAAATCTCTACTTTAAATAAATTGAGGTATGCCATCCAATCACATAGTCTATGGCCCTCACATCGATATCTTAATTAATGTAGGAAAATGCTTTCATCTCTCGTAGTTTGCTTTAGGCGCCTTGATTTAATAATGTGTCATAGCTACGGGTACGGTTCCCGTGATGTAGTTGTGATACACAATTCTAAAATCTGGGGGGTACATTTATGTGACCCGGCCATAGTTTAATATTGTTAATAAAATAAACATATTATAGATCGTGGGTACGGTTCCCGTGACATGATTTGCAATTTGCAATCAAATAATTAGTTGTATAACAATTGGATTATTAAAAGCAGTTTTCTGAGAGGAATAAATGCACATAGGTTTAAAAGATATTTTAAAATCAGACAAATAGGCCAATAATAAAGGTTTAGCGACCGTGCTAAAACCACGAAACCCGGGAATGCCTAACATCTTCTCCCGGGTTAACAGTATTCCTTACCCGAATTTCTATGTGTCGCGGACTGTAAAATAGAGTCAAACTTCCTCGATTCGGAATTTTAAACCGGTGACTTGCGACACCCTAAATTATCCCAAGTGGCGACTCTAAATTTGAAATAAATAATCCTATCTCGATTGTCACTTAAATTGAAAAAAACTCCCTTATATCCTTTTCGGGGTAGAAAAAAGGAGGTGTGACACTTGTAATTCTCATAAAATAGATCGAAGTGCTAAGAGTTCCGGAATTTTGTAAGAATTTAAGGAAAGCTCTATTGAGGTATTTATGGCTAAAACCCTATCTTCTTAGAAATTGAGCTCCTTTGGTGTCCATGCAAATGTTGTAAGTCCGAAATTTAATTTATGTATTGCTTGTCATATCAAATGAATTGGTGTTGCAAATATATATGTGAAGATGCATCTCTATGTGTTCAATATGCTATTCATGGAAATTTAAGGATGTGTGAAGAATGTGAACCATGTGCTAAAATACTTAGATTCAAGTCAAGTTTAAATTGGGATTGTTATGTTAAACCATGTGAAATCTTCTTTATGCTTACAACTTGAATTGCTCTTGTATGTGCCTATTATCTTAAATCTCAAGGTTAATGTTTGAAGTGGAAATGATGTGAAATGTGGGGAAAAAAGAGTTTGAGTTATGAAATGTGGCCTAGTGCCAAGTATGATGTGATAATTGTGGCCCCAAGTGCCGATGAACTGAAATATGTGAAATAAAGATGGAAATGAGATGATTGATGAAAAATGAAAAATGTCTTGGTAAGACGGCCTGGCTGATCGGCTTGTGATCGGACGCCATGCCGCAGACATGGTGGCATTGTGCTGATATTGAAACCACATAGTGGGAATGAAATTATGACTGGGATACATGTCTCGAATGAGGCAACCTAGCCGATCAGGTTTTGTTCGGACTCCGCGCAAGAAAGCGGTGGTATTGTGAAAGATGATGCAACAATATTAAATGTCCCAACCTAAAGCTATGAAAATTATGTGAAAGCTATGTATTTGATGATATTGTGATTGTTTAAAGCGTTGTTGATGCTTATGATTTCTTAATTCTTGTATGATATTTCTTTCTAATGAGATGGTGTTTAGTTATACATACTAGTACTATTCCACGTTACTAACGTTCCTTTTGCCAGGGGCGCTACATCTTTGAATGGATGTAGGTGGTTCCATAGCAGACAGTGCCGATCATAGGTAGCGGAGCATCCTCCTCTCAACAATCTTTGTGAGCCCCTTTCCTTCCAGGGGTTATGCAGTACAACTTTTATTATAAATTACCACTTTTGAGGTATAGTCGGGGCCTTGTTGCCGGCATTATCATAACTGTCTTTTGTATGTTTAGCGGTTCCGTAGACGTTTCTGTAGGTTATGTACGGGTGTTGGATGGGTCACCGAACTATGTTGTAATTCTAAGTTCTTGTTCCTTTAAGCTGTAACTGTATGAAACTTTGGAGACTTAACTATGGTTTACGGGTTGTAATATAAAAAGAACTAGCAATGTCATATGTACAATATTTCCTATTATTTAATTAAATGAAAGTATGGTTTCTTGATCATCGTGAGTTGGGTAGAGAGTGTCCAAGAAGGCTAGCTCAGTCGGGTTCACTCGATTCAGTACCGGTCGTGCCTCCCGAGGTTGGGGCGTGACACAGACAGACGGAGAGGCTAAGCGTACTATTCTGACACTGGAGGATATGTTACGAGCTTATGTGATAGACTTCAAAGGTAGCTGGGATGATCATCTGCCGCTTATTGAGTTCGCATATAATAATAGCTACTACTCCAGTATTCAGATGGCTCCGTACGAAGCTCTTTACGAACATAAGTGTAGATCGCCTATAGAGTTGTTCGATATTGGGGAAGCTACGTTAGTAGGACACGAATTGGTACAGCTGGCAATCGACAAAGTTAATCCTATACAAGAAAGGCTATTAGCAGCTCAAAGCCGTCAGAAGTATTATGCGGACAATCGATGGCGAGACTTGGAATTTCAGGTTGACGATTGAGTATTCCTAAGGGTATCTTCGATGAAAGGCGTTATGAGGATCGGTAAAAGGGGAAAACTTAGCCCTCAGTACATTGGACCATATTGGATCATACGCAAGGTAGGCCAGGTAACATATGAATTAGAACTGCCCTAGAATTGGAGTATGTCCATCCGGTTTTTCACGTATTTATGTTACAGAAGTGCATTGGCGATCCTACCCGAGTGGTGCCTACAGATGATTTACAGATGACAGAGGACTTATTGTACGAGGAAATTCCAGTTTCCGTTCCAGAAAGACAAATCCGTAGGCAACGGAATAAGGAGGTAGCCTCCGTAAAAATACTTTAGAGAAACAAAAATTTGGAAGAAATGATTTGGGAGGCCGAGGAAGACATGAAGTCTAGATATCCCTACTTATTTCCTCATCGAGAGAAGGATCCGACTGGGACATCAGAACCATAAGGTACGTGTGTAAATTCTTGTGTTGGTTAGTGTCGTTGGTCGTGTGAGGCCACTGCCGTTATTGATGATTATGGTCCTATATGGTGTTAAATTACTGAGTTTCTACAGGAGGAGTTGGTAGTATCTTGTTACAAAGTCGATTCTGCCAAGGTTATATGATCTCTTAGAGTTAAACTTTCGAGGAAGAATGTTTCTAAGGGGGGAAGGATGTTACATCTGGCGTTTTCGTACGTTAAAACTTTCGTCTTCAGTTAATCGACGTAGATTATGGGATGAGAATATCTTAAGGTTAACGTATTTAAGCTATTTATTGTAGACATGTGATTTTTGACCCTTCCCAACATTTTTCATATTTTAGCACGTAAATATTTAATTTAGGCCTAATATAGCTATTTCAACTCATTTTGACTCTTTCACTTTATTTTATTACAAGAAAAATGAAAATTAAAAAAAAATTTAGTTTATGTATTTTTCATAAATTTAAAAAATAAAAAAAATAGTACCTTGTTTTTATATAATTTCGAAAACACAAAAATAGTTTTATATTTAGTTTAATTAATTAGGATTAACTTTGGCATTGTGTAGTATTTCTATCTTATTTTAAAAGACATTGTGTAGTCTAGGAACCCTTCTAGACTCTTATTTGGGACAAAAAATAAATAAAAAGACCCTAAGGACTTAACACAAAAAGACCTAGGGAATAATAGGAAAATACACAAAAAATACACCTAAAACCTAGACCTATATTATAGGTAATGCCTACAATGAGCTAAAAAAACAAAACAAAAAAAAACAACGGAGACCTAATGCCTAGACTAAAATCCGCCGCAGACCCATAGAGAACCCCTAACGCCAAAAATCAAAATCCCTCCCTTTCCAAAAACCCAGCTGCCCACCCTCTAAAGATCTCTCACACCAAAAGAGCAGCCATTATTTAACGGGGAAACCACCACGTTTGACAAAAGAAGACTAGAGCCGCTTCCTGAAGTCTTTTCTCTCCATTCTTGAACTAGTCTCACTTCAAACAACTTTGGTTGATTGAACCTACAAAGCTACTTTTATCGTAGATACGAGCTATATAATCTTTTGAAAGACGAGGTTCCGTTCACTCGTGGTCGCCGGCGTAGTCTCTGATCCGGTCACGGTCCAGTTCAATTGTTCTTCTGATTTTTCTATGGTTTGTTGGAAACTAGGTACGCCTCTAAGACCATTGTGTAATTTTATTTGGTTTTTCTCTTTATGGCTGAATATTCGAGTTGTTTGATTTAATAATCCTGCGCTAAACACATGGATTTTTATTGTATATGTTGCTCTTTGCTTATTTGCTTGAAGATTGAACGCATTGATTCCAATCCTGTTGAAAAGGCCGAAATGTCAATTGCTGAAGATGTAAATGATATGAGTCTTTTGAAGTTTCTCCAATATATTTGTTATGCACTTATCCATGATATTTATGACAAATGAAGTATAGATGAAAAGAGAGGCCCGTTCAATATTCGCTTGTCAGCATTCTCTATTTGCTGTTCAACAATTGCTTTTCTTTTTTTGTGTGTGTTTTTTTTAAAAGCTTTTCCATGCTTGCTTCTCAACATTTGTTTTCCAATAAGATAATTAAGTCGTGGAACTAATTAGTACAGCAGTAAAAAAAAATAGATATCATTGTGATTGTGGACACGTTCGCGTGACATGATTACGATTTCTAAAAACAAAACCAGAGTATGCGTTTGCACAACTCCGGCCAAATATTCTTAATAATAATAAAGCATTATTAATTGTGGACACGTCCGCGTGACATAATTTTTGACGCGCCAAACAAATGGGTACACGTACGCGTGACCCGTTTCAAGATAATTTTTAATTAAAAAAGGCAAAAGCACATAGTTTCTAAAATGAGTAATTAGACAACTTTAATAAACCAAGTATGATCAAAGAGACCGTGCTAGAACCACGGAACTCGGGAGTGACTAACACCTTCTCCCGGGTTAACAGAATTCCTTACCCGGATTTTTATGTTCGTGGACCGTGAATAGAGTCAAACTTCCTCGATTCGGGATTTTGAACTCGTGACTTGGGACACCATAAACTATCCCAAGTGGCGACTCTGATTTAATTAAATAAATCCCGTTTCGATTGTCACTTAAATTGGAAAAAACTCCCTTATACCCTTCGGGGTGTAAAAGGAGGTGTGACAGCTCTGGCGACTCTGCTGGGGAGTTAAACCCAGAACTTCGGTTCAGGGTTCAAGAATTCGAGCTTAGATGAATTGTTATAGTTAGCTTTATCTGATTTTGTTACATGTTTGGGCCTAATGTGCTAAATGTTGCTTTTACCTCTTTGATATTCTCTGAACTGTATATAAACTGCTACGAAACCCTTGCTCTCTCTGAGTCTTCTAAATCACGGAGAAGGGTGCACTTCGTGTGACTTCTCTTCTGTCTAGAGTCTTATCCCTTTTTAGAACGAGGTTCAGACAAGTTGCAAAGCCGGTGAAGCTTTTGTATTTTCAGTACGCTGCCCCCCCCCCTCCCGGCTCGATTTGTCTGCTCGGTAAGCCAGATCTAGAACAAATAAACCTAGGTTTTTAAACCTAGAATAACAAAACCTCATGCCGGATCCCTAGTAGGAACGCTTGTTTGCATCATGTGCATTTGACTTAGGGGACTCAACACAGGGGTTGGGTCCGTCTAGGACAGGTGTATCCAAAATAACAGACCATCTTGATGCATCCTATGTGCAACATGTTGCATTTATACAAGGGTAAAAGGGTCATTTGGCGGACCAAGGATAGCCGAGGGCAAATGAAAAAATAGTGAAAAATGAAAAAAGAAAAAAGAGAGAGTGAAGTGTGAAGATAAAGCGAGTGGGGCCCAACTATGTTTTCTGTCACATTTTTGTTAAGGAAGAGAGGGAAAAAAAAACTGAAAAATTCAAAAAGATTTTGCACTTTTGCATCATTTTTCGAAAAATCAAAAAATCAAAAAAAAAAAAAAAAAGAGAAAGAAAATCCAAAAAGATTTTGCATGTTTCATCATTTTTCAAGGAAGCAAAAAATATGTTTTCTCTAAATTAGTTATTTTTTATAATTCTTAACCGTATCCAATCTGCCCGAACTACGCATACCTGATTCTCGTCTTTCGGGGCGTGATATGTAGGCAACCCACATAGGGTCCGCTCTTTCTAGTAAATCTTAGGTTCTTGGCTTTGCGGGGTCTTAGCCAAATTTTGCACTTCTAGCCACCTTTTGGCCAAATAAGCCATTTTGCAAAAATAGCCTCAATCATGTCTTGCATGTGTCCAGTGGGGAATATTATTGTCTCACATAGTGTTGGTTTTAATTTTCTCATACAGGTGTGGATTTACTTACCGGAGTTGGAGCATGACAGAGACTAGGACATCTAGTCAGGATCGCTCATTTAAAAGTGGATTAACAGAAGATTTTCTTTTCTTTTTGTGTCTTGAGTCTTCTTTTTTGTATTTATTTTATGTCGTCTTTTACCTTTTAGTTTTGAATAGTAATGTCGAGTTTTATTATTATTATTGTACTTTCTATTTTGCATTTGAAAAGGTGTGTAATAAATCAAAAATTCAAAAAAAAAAAAGAATTGCATTTTACATTTCCGTTAGGAGTTTTCTTTAGAATACTAATTGTAGAAATGAAAAAAAAAACAAATATTTTTGAGGTGGTTTTTCCTTTAGGCAATTAATATCTATGACTTAAAATAAAATTTATTTTTATATTTTTTTTACTATATTAGGACCAAAAATTCAAAAAAAAAAAAAAAAGAGAATTTTCCTTTTAGTACCTTTTTAAAATTTTTCTTTACGGTATTAATCTCAAAAATCCAAAAAGATTTTCTTTTGAGGTTCTTCTTTGGGAAATTAATGAAAAATGGAAAAAATATTCTTTTATTTTCCCAAGAACTTTATGACATTGTGCACAGAAGAGAAAAAACATACTTTATCTTTATCTTTAAAGTTTCTTTCTTAGGTAATCAAAAACCGAAATCCAAAAAAAATATTTTTTATTTTGTTCATTTCTCCTATCGAAGTCTTTCTTCAGGGATATCAAATGAAAATTCGAGGATGAAATGAACAAATTGGGATGATGCCAACTGACCTTTGTACCCTCGAAGTCATTTTAGAACCGATAACTGTGGCTAGGTGCATTGCACATAAAGTGAGATTATCTTAACGTAATGGCTTCATTTTGTTATATTCATAGCAGAAGGATGGTTGGTTTGTGGTTTTTAAAGTGGTAGCTCTTCTCTACAACACAAAGTCAAAAGGCGATGGCAGACAACAACAGAACTGAGTTGGTTGATACCGGTGCCCGAAAACAATTGGTTGAACAGGACATGGGTTGGTTGAAGAGGTAAAGATGTTAAGACAACACATGGCGGACATGTATCAAGCTTGGATGACTGGGAAAGCACCACCCCCGCCACCACCTAGCTTCCTAGATGCTGCCCTTACCCAAGCTCCGGAAACAATGCCAGATGATCCTCCATACTCTCTAGATCTACCCGCTTATCACGGCTTTCCCAACCACCCTAGTAGCTCCATCACTCGTCCTCCGACTATCTCTCCCCCAAAGTGCCCTCCTGTCACATCCACTATCCCCGACAATGAACACCCACTTAAAGCTCATGATGACCAATACTACCCCGTAGAGGTTGCCCACCAGGTTCCTGACTCATACAAGCAGAGCCCTCGGGATGAGCTTCATGCTGAACATGAGAAAGTCACAGGAAGAGAAGGGCCAGATGGGATACCCAGGAGGCTGAAAGGCATAGAACAGTCCATAAGGAACAAGAAAGGAATGGGAGACCAGGGTAGCATGGCTTACAAAGAACTGTCTGTGTCCCCTGACGTTCGCCAGCCCGTGGGATTTAAAGTGCCACAATTTAACTTGTATGATGGGTGTGGAGATCCGGTAGCCCATTTGGGGGATTATTGCAATGAAATGAGAAGTGTTGGCGAGAAAGATGATTTGTTGATGGCGTATTTCAGTGAGAGCTTGACTGGGGCAGCTTTGGAATGGCATAATCGTCAAGATGTCGGTAAATGGCCTGCACTGGGTGACATGGCTCAAGATGTTGTTCGATACTTTCAATACAAATCAGGCGTTACTCCAGACCGCTCCTCCCTATCTAAAATTGAAAAGAATCCGGAGGAAAGCTTTAGGGAGTTTGGGCTCAGATGGAGGGAGCAAGCCGTTTGAGTCAGTACCCCGATTGGTGAAGAAGAAATGGTTGAGCTTTTCCTACAAGCCCAGGGGCCCACCTACTTCAGTCATTTGATCCCGGCCTTGAGAAAGCCTTTCAATGATGTGTTGAAAATGGGGGAGCTAGTAGAAGGGGGAATCAAGACAGGCAAAATCCTGAGTTGTTCGAAAGACATTCAGAACATCCCAGTAAGCTTGGGTGGAAGAAAGAGAAACAGAAAAGATGATCCGATGGGCTTTCCCGATCAACACTTCCAGCCTCGACATCATCCCCGTGGATATCCTTGCGCACCAGATGACCCTCCCCGATGCCACTCCTCTCCATAGAACTCCCAAAGTCGCACATCACTTTCCCAGTACCCAGCTCCACAAAATGCCTATGTACCCCCACGAGCCTACCGAAAACCCCCTGGATCAGGTTTCCGGCCAATCAAGCATTTAAGAATGAGAGGTTACGGAAGAAGAGAACCTTCACTCCGTTGGGAGAGCCATATGCCAGTCTGTTGCAGAGCTAAGGAAATTGGACATGTTGAAGCCGATTTAGATAAAAATGCCAAACCCTCTTCCAAAGAAGTTTGATTTTTCTCAAAGGTACGCATATTGCTTAGATACCCCGGGACATGACATAGAGAAGTGTTGGAATCTGAAGAATGCGATTCAGAAGCTTATTGATGCAGGCGACATTGTCGTGCAAAGTCCAGATGCAGCAGACACTAGCCAAAGTCCATCACCTGTGCATAATGAGACGCATATGGTGGGTATGATTTATTTTGAAAAGGAATGTGAGAATTCTTCTGGGAGCCTCAGAGGCCCACGTGCTAGCAAGCTTTCAGCACTATCAGAGGTTGATCTTAAGAACGAGCAGGCAAAGGGAACCCGAAAGCAATTTGTTAAGAACAATGTGATGAAGACTTGTGATGTTCCTAGTATTGTTGATGCAGAATTCAGTGGCTAAGATACCGTGCTTGGTAATTGGAAAGACGCTCTTTTCTTGGTTAGCCAGGGAGGAGTTTTGGTGGTTTATTTTGTTGTCATTTCTGTTGTCTGGGTTATTTCAGGGTTGTAATCCGGATGTTGTCTTGTGACTCAAACCCTTCTATCCTTTTATTTTGCCTAGTTCCTTTAGTCGTAGCAACTCATTTAGTGTTACCTAGTTTTGTTCCAGGGTTGTACCCCAGTTTGTTTTGCTTGTTTTGTTATTCGAACCGTTTCACCGTCTGTCTAATGCAAATTCCGATCTTTTGTTATCTCTGGTCATTTTCTTTGTTTAGTTCTCTTCTATCCTTTCGTTTTGTCTTTTGTCTAAATGATGGTTCTAATGACATGACATGCATGCAAAATTCTAGACCTGGTCTTAAAAGTTAGTTTACTCATGAAGCATTGAAACAATTTTGAAGATGATAGGGGCACTTGAGGGAAATAAGAACAGATTTGGACACTTCGAGATCATTTGAAGCCCGAACCATGAGAAACTGGGGCAGATAGAACATAAAGCAACACTATTGAAATACATCATGCTGCATCGGTTTGAAGTTAACGACAGGTTTGCCCCAAATTAGCTGGGCCCGTTCGTGGTAACGAAGAGTGTTGTCCAACGGTACTTAAAATTGACAAAAAGCGAATGTGTAGATATGGTTAACAGGCCTGGTACGATCAAAAGATGTTACGAATGTTTTCCTTGGTTTGTTTAGTTGTGTTGTTTGTACTTGGGATGTTTTGAAGATTGGAATGACGAAGGCATTCTGTTCTGCTATCTAAACATTTTATCCTTCGTTACCCCTTTGAGCCTTATTTATTTTCTTTCATACCCCTCTTTCAGAATCAGTAGCAAAGTTTAGAAATGCAAGCGCAAAAGATATGTAAAGGAGGAAGAGAAAAAGAGAAAGAAAAGAGAAAAAGAGAAAGAAAAGAATGAAAAGAAAAGAGAAAGAAAAGCGTGGCTCGAAAACCTAAGGCTGATACGGCAACCTTATCCACAAAAANGAAAGAAAAGAGAAAAAGAGAAAGAAAAGAATGAAAAGAGAAAGAAAAGAATGAAAAGAGACAGAACATAATGAAAAGAGAAAGAAAAAAAAAGAAAAGAGAAGAAAAACAACAAAAAGAAAAAAAACAACAAAAAGAAGGAAAGAAGAGAAAAAGAAAAGAAAAGAAAAATCACAGCAAACAAAGTAATTCCTATGACATGAACTACGTTCGACCTGATTCCTTTTAAGGATACGTAGGCAGCCTCATGGTTCGGTCCCATCCAAATAAAAATCCAAAAGTCCCCAAGAAAAGAAACTGGGGCAGAAGTTGTGGTTGTGCAAGAGATTTGATTCCGAAAGTTGTAATTTTGAACCCATTTGAATTGTTTTGAGCCTTTTGATACCCTTTATTTCTAACCATATCCAAAAGCCCACATTATAGTCCAGAGAAAGACCTTCCGATCCATCTTCGGAAGATGTCAAGGCGAGCAAGTAGAGGTGAATCATATCAGGGGCAACACTCTTGTCCAAACAAGGAAAATGAAAAAACGAGAGAGTCTTATTGGTGAAAACCCTCACGGGCACCGTAAGGCGATGAAGGCTGAGAGAAATAAAAAATGAGAGAGTCTTATTGGTGAAAACCTTCACGGGCACCATAAGGCGATGGTGAGTTGAGAAAAAGACCAAAATGAGAGAGGCTTGGTGGTGAAAACCCTTCGGGCACTATAAGTCGAATAAGGATTGTGAATCAGATTGGATAAGCGGAGCATTGAAGCCCAGTTTCATGGAAAAAAGGTACGAAGAGCTGAACATCAGATTTGCTTGACGGAATATGCCACATGTGCATGTCATGGTCATTAGAGTTGGTATCCACATCTGATAGGTTTCTACTTTGTAGTTTTCTTGTTAGGAATCATCTCTTTCCATTGTCCTTTACTTTGTTCCTTTTGTCTTGTTTACTTCCTCTTCCTGAGTCTGTTTGGTCAGAACAAGTGAGAAATGACTTCAAAATTTGCCACCAGCTTTCCAATTGCACAAAACGGGATCTGGCTAGCACGTCAAAGTGGCATAAGTCAGGAAAGAACAACGTGCGCACTGAGTTGGTAACAATCAACATGCTTTGGGATTCATGTGAAATACAAAGGTTTGGTATATATCAATTCATGAACAATGCAACAGATAGAGGATGTGGGGTGAATGGATCAAAGGTATTCTCTGTGATGAGGTTGACAGAGAAAGTGGTTAACCAATGACAAGCAAGGTCTTCCAAGCGGAAATCAAAGTTATCATGGCAAGTGAGACCTCATGGCCAAGGCCAGTGGTATAAGTCAAGAAAGAATAACATACGCACTGAGTGGGTGGAAACTGGCATGCTTTGGGATTCATGCGAAACACAAAGGTTTGGTAAATGCCAGTTCATA